CTGAATAGAAGTGTTATTATGGTCATTCAATACGTCTTTTAAGTAACTTTTAAATTAATATGCACTATTATTAGACTGCCATGCACCTGGTATCAAAATGAGAAGACATGTCAGAATTCTAAACCTATATCGAGATGGACGACACTCGGTACCAAACGCTAAAAATATAATTGACAATGTTACGGTCGATTGATTAGTGCCAAACTAGTACTTACTTGGGCTGCCTAAATCATCAGTCGTGTCTAAACAGTTTAATGCATAGCTGCATTTTAATTATTCTATATAATAGTCGATTAATTTACTAATGGGTAAATATATGAGCAAGGTAAAAAGTTAAAGGATTTTTACTGTGGTGTCATTGCCTGATAAATGTTCTAGCTGCCATAAGTGTATATTGTGTAGTCTATACCATCGACCATGAAGTATTTCGTAAGTGATCATTTTTTTTAATTGTCTTAGTTGTCAATGTCTGATTTACATTTCAAATTAAGAAGGCATGTAAACAAATTTTATATAAAAATGAATTTATTTTCGTTGCAACCCAATTTTAAACCCATTTTTTTAGGTGTTAACTTTGGATCCCATTTGCTCCATTGAAATACATGTTGCAATAATATGTGTACTATTCCGTAGAAAACTGATTTACCTGATAATGTACAAACCTGAAATGTCAGTATTCTTTGTGAGGTGCATTTTTCCTTTACGGTGGTTACTGTATCTCGATATAGAAGTCCCTTTGTTATTTTATAGGTAGGTATATCTCGTTTATTATTGATTTTAATTTAATGATGAGCATTGTATAAAAGAACTGTACCACTTTTTCTGTCTATAAAATACAAATCTAGTGGTAGAGAAGTAGATATGCTTTGATCACTCATAGTACTTTACGATTTGATTAAGTTTTACATGAAATAACTACAGTCATTTGATGCAATGGTTACGCGTGTAACTAGATAGACGTAATGAAAAAGAGAACAGAATCAATATAAAATATATCCTCATTTTATTATAAACAATTTTGTTCTTGAAAGTACCTGCATTCAGATTTTTGAAACATGTAGGATCCAACGGAAATAGTTTTTGGGATTCAACGACAATAAAACGCAATGTTTTTTTTTAATTTGGAATTCAACATATATACATCTTAATATTTTGTAAAATATGTTTAACGTTACAAACCTTTATTAATTTAATTAAATAAATTATTTTTGGCATTATATTTAAACATAATGTTTAACGCCAAAAATATTAAACTGCGATTCAAAACTGGGATACAACGAAATCTTAAAAAGTAAGAGATTTGAAATTAGAATTCACTTTTACGGTCTTTTACTTTTTAAATGTCGGATGTATGCATGCGTCATATCAGTCATCTGTTTCGGCGTTCAAAAGTGGTTCTGACATTCCGAGATATGTATCATGGGCTATTTATTCCCAAATGGGTTCAGTTGTATACATTCTACGAAATATTTAGATTTGGCGCCACCTCCATTACACCTTTGGCTTTTCATCACAAGAAAACAGTTCAAAAAAATTAAATTTGCATTGGTTTATTAAAGTTTTTATTTTTTTTAAGTATTACGCGTTTTGAAGGGATGGCAGATTAAAAAAAAAGCAATACTAATTTTTGGTTTCTCTGCAATAGCTTGCCGTCAGCTACCTCATGTATTAAAAAGTTGAAAAGTTTTATCTATTGACCCATCGTTTTCATCATCAAGCGCATGCCAATACAATAAAATAGTAGAACACTGTTTATAGTAATACCGTAAGTGTTGTGATTACTTGTTGTATTTAAAATATGTATCTGTAATTTACTACATTGTGAACATCTCATAAAGTATGTTTTATTGTCTGTGGAAAGGCTTGTTGTGTTTAAAGGATAATATAATATACGTTTTTTCAGACTTTTTTAAATTACCCTTGTATAATACAAACCTGTTTCAACTTTTAAAGATGCAGAATTATTTGGGTTTAACTTATTTAAACTACCGTTTCGTCCTTACATAGCTTACTGAAGTACAAAAATATTAAAATTTAGTTATGCTAAATGCATGTTGCAGGAGTTCATGGCCGGCGGTAGCCACTTTCCTTCATCCTTTCCACCGGTCTGCTCGTCTGCCCCCTCTTCATTTAAAAAAGAATTTGATATCTTGAGTAGTATAAATTATAATGTTTACAGAATGTTTAATACCTACCTTTTTATTAAAAAAACCTAATGTATAAAAAAGATCTTTCGACATAGCCCATTCAACCAACTTAAATTGTGTCGTCATCATTAAAATTAAAAAAAATAACAAACCACATTGACGACCTCTATGCCAAACATTAAATAAAAAATAGAATTTATGCACATAACTACCATGGCATGCTTACGCACATAACACAACGGACATGTTCCAGATTAATGGTGTCTCGAACGGACATCTATTTTTAGCTGTATATTTTATCGTTACTCATCTCTATTCATTGGTTACTCTAAAAATTTACTAAATATGTACTTCATAATAATAATCTGGACCTAGACTAAACCTAATGATTGACAATGACATTTGGAGAGATAAATTTTAAATGCTATTCTGTTATGGAATGTTATGAAATGGCCATGGAAGCAACTTATAAATCCTAGTCTTAATTTAATTCAGTTCTGTAACACTCGTTCTAAAATGCTTGAGCAATTAGTCTGTCAATTAATTAAAACACATTTATAATAATTATTCAAATTTCGTATCTCGTCATTCTTGTCATTTGACTTAAGTTTGAAGGTGACATTTTAAATAAGGAATTTTAGATATTTCGCGGCCATGTTATTTTTAACTAACCTAATAATGTGTAAAGGTCAATGTTTGTCTGTTTATATTGTATAGGTACGCTGTATAGGTCACAGTGATCGGATGATACCGTGCATTTAAAATTTTGGTACAATGTTGACAAGGATACTATCTCTTGCCGAGAAAAGTGCTATCCGTAGATCCGATCCGAGGGAAGGTAAAATTACTTTTACACGAGCGAAGCTGCAAGCAACAGCCAGTCTTTATAAACTGCCGTACTGTTCATCCGATCATCATAAAATAATAATAATAACTTCATATATCTCACACACGGCAGTCTGGTCCCAAACTAGGCAGAGCCTGTATTATGGTAACCAATCTGGTGATAAACATACTTATATATTTCTAAATACATACACACATAGATAGATAAATTACACCCAGACACAGAACAAATGACAAGGAACAATGGCCTATCACACAATATTTGTCCTGGATGGGAGTCGAATCCACGACCTCCGGCTTACCACTAGACCAACAAGCTCGTCATTGCACAAATGTTGCTATGAAGGAACTCAATATAAAAACTGATATCCGGTAATGAAAAAAATCCCGAAAGATCGAAACTTACTCATTTCAGTTTAAAATTGACATTTGAAAAACATTAAAAATGGAATACTTTTAATTTAATTTTTAACTAAGATTAAAAACACCAGCAAGAAATTTTCATGAATGAAGCTATTAAAATACGTTTTGGAGAATATGTAAAAAGTCGTAATGAGCCACAAAAAAAGAATTTATGATTGTTTTTGCAGCTAAAGACGAACAAAGAGGCAGAATAAAAATAATATGAAGTGGCCAGTGAGTCACTAGTCCAGGAAATACCTCTATGCTTGCCAAATTATGTTGGAAGTTAATTTCGTAGACAATAGACACATAATTAACTCGTGTTTACTACCGCCTCCTTAATGGAGATATGTGTTAAGAGAATATAGCCAAAAAATAACATAAATATTATACATTTATTTATTTTATTTATATCTTTATTGTATACAGTTAACAAGTTAAGTTACTTACGAATATATAGATGTCACAATCGGCGGTCTTATCGCTCACGGCGATATCTTACAGACAACCTCAATACGGATATTAGATATTTAAAAGTTGGGTAGTTTACATATCCTACTTAATGCATTATCCGGACCAATACGACCTTCTAACCTTCAAGAAAAGAGCGTACACCTTCCTAAAAGGCCAGCAACGCGTTTGTGACTCCTGAGTTGCAGACGTTCATGGGCGGCGATGGTCACTTTCCATCAGGTGACCCGTCTGCTCGTCTGCTGCTCTAACATTAAAATAACAACAAAAGCATTTCTTTCTTTAGTTTTTATGTAATGTTAAACTATCAATTTTTGTATGCATTTCGTGTACGTTATGTTAGAGTTTCTTTTTAATTATTTTTTTATATGCGTTTTTATATGGTAGAGACATACTATATACAGTAACAGTCAGCTACTAAGTTTCTATATAAAGTGAATTCTGAAATTAAATAATCAACATTTCACTCTTTCATAATAAAATTATTCGCCTATTAACTTATCCGATCTAACGACGGGGTACATACATTAATGTATGACATAAATAATTATGGCTATTCTTTTATAGTTTGTAAATGTAGGAATACAGAAAGCTTTTAGGTGGGAGCTAATACATGGAACATCGACTATTAAAAGTGAAATATATCCGCCATAATTAGATTAAAATAATCTATGCCGCCATTTTTTTTTAATGTTAAAGGAGCAGTCGAGCAGATGGAGAGTGACCATTTATTCGAATCATCTTTGATTCGAAGTTTTATTACAGACCAAAAATGTAATATGTAAATCTGCAAAACAATCAAATTTCCCGCCGTTCTGCATATGACGGATTCATAAAAAATATCAAAATTAGCAGTTATCATATTTAAAACTTCAATCAACATCGACATCTGTAAAAAAATTACCAGCGTTTATGCTTTATTTTAATATAAAAGTAATAAATCGACAAATAACTGAAGAATTTTACGCACGCACTCTCGTCCAATCCCGGATGATTCCAAAATTAACCCGAGCGTTCGTTTTATCCGCTCGTGCCGAAGTTTACGTGCGTATGAAGTAAAGCTGGAAAGCTTCATGAATTAGTATTTTTAACATAGATTCGTGGTTTATTTGTTGTGTAATATAAAAATCCGTTATGGATTTGTCTACTGATGTGTGGGGGCAGTTGGCGTTGGAGGCTAGTCAAGTGTATTTAGGTGAAGACGGTAAAGTGAGGAGTCCGTTCGCTAACACGGTAATGTTATTTTTTTAATATACAGCATATACATAACCGTTCTCTATTATAATTCTATAAATATCTGAAACTTTTTGTGTGTTTAAGATGTACATATTAGAAATAGATAAACAGTTCCTATTTATTAAGAGACTTCTTTGATAAACATTATAATATACCTATCTATATACGACTAAATGTGATTTATATCTTTTCAAGATGTTCATTTGTGCCAATAATACAAATCCCTTCCTAATTAATAAATATCATTGATCGATGTACATTAAATACGTCATGCTTTGTTTCAGACTATAGAAAAATTACCCGACAAGGTTTTGTTGAATATATTTTCGTATTTAACACATCGGGAAATATGTCGCATGGCCACAGTTTGCAAAAGATGGCGTATGGTTGCATACGACACCCGCTTATGGACGCACGTCAGTCTAAGGCCAGAGATTTCAGGATTACATGTCGGTCAGTACAATACTAAAAATAACTAAATCAAAGTTTATAGGATGACTAAAATTAGAACCGCCAAATTAGTATTATTTTTCTACTAAATTTGCATCTATTTTATTACTGGCAGCCGTAACTTTATTTATCTGTGCCGTGAGTTGCCGCTTTCAATCAAGAGATGTCGTTAGTATGCGAAGGATATTTACGAATGTTATTTTCGTGAAAAATAAATTATAATGAATGAAATACATTATTTTCAGGGTCCCTGGAGTCACTTCTAGCATTAATTTCGATAAGATTTGGTCCTTCACTGAGATACATCGAACTCCCGATAGAATTAATTACACATACGGTACTACACGAACTCGCAGCTAAATGTCCCAACTTAACTCACATGCTGTTGGATTTTAGTACAGGTAAGAGAACAAACAGATGTCTGTAATAATGACAATGAGTATTTTTTATGAAACTAGGTATGCAAACTAGTTCACAGAACACTGGGTGCATTGTTAAGGTAGATACACCCTTCTCGCTGAAAGTTAACTCCACTCCTGCTACCTTTGCTTTCACCAGCATTCTACTCAAAAATAACCACATACTTATAATTTTACCATCCTTTATTACCAGTGACTGGTGGAAGGCATTTGGATTGTACTCTACTACATAAGTGCTGCCAAATCATTTAAGAGGTTATTTGGGTGATTAATAAGCTTCTGCTTACCCCTTTGGGCACACAGGTATATATATACATATATGATAGTAGCTGGTGACAGCGACTTCGTTCGCGTGGAATTTGAAAAGCGCGAGTTCGATTCCCGGAACAGACAGAATTTTATAGGGTTTTTCTGAGAGAAAAACTTGCTAAAGCCTAAGTTACTCCTTATATAGACTTAGTAGTAAATAAATAGCACCCAGAAGTTTGAAGATCACCCGGAACAAACAGACAGACAGAAAGAGAGACAGACAGACAGACAAAAAATATGGTTTTTAGTCATAAGTATCGTGCAAATAACCGTGTAAGCATGAGAAAAAACTATTATTTTGACATTACAAACAGACACTTCAATTTTATACAATTGTATAGATATATATGTAAATACTCGTCATTACTGAAACGTCACTACTTAAACCTGTTCTCTTGTTTCCAGCTATGCAACTCCACGACTTCTCGGAGATGCAAGCCTTCCCAACGAAGCTGCGGTACCTGTGCATCTGTCTTTCCGAAGTCATTTTCATGGAAGGTTTCATGCGCAAAATATACAACTTCATCAATGGCTTGGAGATTCTGCACCTCATAGGTAAGATGAAGGTCATTTTTAGCAAGGTTTTCAGACTTGACTGTAGACGCCAGCTCGAGCCTCGTCAATGAGTCTGCTATGATCCAAATTACCAAATATCTGCTAGGGCATTTCCTATGTATTTAATTTTTTTAAATAGCTGTTCGCTGATCCCTTCTATTTGATGCGAAGTATGGCATACATTGCGGTTTAGCCAGTTTAATTTCTATCACACAAAGTCACACAGTCGTACCGCTTGGAGTGACAGCCCGATGTGGCCCACGCACTAAAAAAAGGCCATCAAATTACATAACAATATTGAACATCATTATCATCAACATAGTCCACTGCTGGACATAGGCCTCTTCTTAGAAAGGAGGTTTTGGCCCACTATACCACGCTGGCCAGAGGGGTTGGCGAAGGGTTTGTGTCAAGTTTTCCTTCTCTTCTTGCTCTGTTGTCCTGCGTAGTTTGCTCCCTTAGTCGGTACTTACGATACCCACGGGATGAATAGCGGTGGTAACACTTCGTATTCTTAACCCGTCACCACACGGTAATTTGTAAAAGTATAAGAAAAAAATATTGTGTATTTGTATTTTTTCAATTTACAAGTCTGTGTCAATTTACAAGATTTCGTTTCGAAATGAGCCTTGTGTGAAGATATCTAGTCAACAAACTCACGGACACTTAAAACATAACACCCATGTAACAACAATATATATATGTATTGTTATGTGATTATGTTGTGGCCATTAAAAAATATATACCTATACAATTAGGTAAATTAAAAAAAAAGAAAAAAAAGAAAGTAAAGAGAAATACGAAAGCATCACATAATTAGAATTTATATATAATCTTTAATGAATTTTTTATCAAATAATCAGAATTTTAATATATGTACATATTTTTTTAAATACTATAATTTTAAATTTTAATCAATATATTGCTTAATAATTTGTATGCCCAAATGGCAGATCATGGAATGAACATCATTAATAATTATGTAATGAACACCTGTATGTAACCCATGTATCACAAATAAATGATTTGATTTGATTTGATTTGATTTGAAATTATGTTTTGATAAAGATAACTTTAAAAAGATCTGCAGATGACCTGAATGCCTTCCTTTAAAATTGCCTTTCAATTTCCCAGTCTTTGATTCCCATTCACAAAATGCCCAGTAAGCTACAAAAGGCTTGCTCTAATAATACGTGAGTGGGAGATAATTATACTTGACAATAAAGACAGGCCTCTGCCTACCTCTTGCTTGCTACAGGCGTAACGTATATGTATGTTCGTAAAATGTCGTACTGACTTTTGATGTGACTCATCTAATGCGGAGGGTCAGAACGGCTGTTGACGTGGTGGCGACGCGTCGCCACGCATTGTCATAGTATACGTAACATGTTTTGCGGTGTTGTGTAAGTCCTTGTAGTGACGGATTAAGAATACGGAATGTCACTACCCCAATTCATCCCGTCCGTGTCGTATGAGCCGACTAAGGGCGCAAAACAACGCAGGACACCAGCACTGCAAAAAGAAGACACACTTGACACACACCCTATGCCAACCCGTTTGGCCAGTGTGGTATAGTAGGCCAAAACCTCCTTTCTAAGGAGAGGCCTATGTCCAGCAGTGGACTATTAAAGGCTGTTGATGTGATGTGTAAGTCAATTATTAAAAATATTAGGTATATTTAAGAAACGTCACCATTTCCTTTAAAAATTGAATATTATATTGTGCTATATTTATTACTTTTTTCGTAAGCTGTCCTTTTATACTCATTATTTTTACAAAATAATTTCAACTTTTCATATTTCTACAGAATAATTTCGATGTTTCACATCTGTCAGACGTCACGAGATTTTTTTTTAACTATTAGACATAAACGCATTATAAAAAATGTTTATAATTTGATTTTTTTTATATAATTTGAAATTTATTAGTGGTATAATGCTTCATACTTTTAACATAGTTGAAGTAAACTCTTAAGTGTTCTTAAGCATAGGTCACCGGTTCGACGACCGTTTAAAACAAACAGACGACGTTCTGTTCCATCCGTTCATTGACTTCTAAGTACGCCAGTATCCATGCTAGTTGACAAACATTAAACAAATAAAAAAGTTCAAGAAATAATTCCTATAATGTAGCTTTTAGTGGCGCTTTTAGTCAGAGGTGTTAAATTTTCCAGCGATAGTCGATTTAGTATCTTTTTATTAAACCTTAAAAAACAATTTTGTATGAAATACTGCGGTGTGACGTCATATGACGATGTTCGATTCCCGCGCAAGTCAAACATTTGTGTTCATGAACATTTTAATGTTTGATTTCGTCTGGTTGTTTCTATGTATAATATGTATGTATTTACAAAAAAATGTAAATAATGTATTATTACAAGCTCTGCTTAATTTGGAACTAGATGGCGTTGTGTGAATGTGGTAGAATATTACTTTTATTTAATTTTTTGTTGATTTAAAAATATAAAAGCAATAAAAACATTAAATTGATAATGAATGACAATTCAGGCTGTACTTTCGCTTGAATCATTAAGTGTATATTGTGTGTACACACAACGCCATCTAGTTTCAAACTAAGCAGAGCTTGTACCATGAAAGCTAGATTGACTGATACAATACTGATTTACTTTTCTTTGTAAATATATACATAATATATTTAAAAACACCCAAATTGCGGTTTGGTAACGTTTATCTTTATTTCTCTACTCTCTGTTTTTTCTAGGAACCTACGAGAAGATAGAGGAAGAAGAGGAGGAGATATATGAAGTAATTAACGTGCACAAGCTCAAGTCGGCCACTCCGAACTTGCGCGTAATCAACCTGTACGGCATCAACTTTGTCGATGACTCCCACATTGATGCCTTCAGCTCCAATTGCATACAGGTATTCAACTACTAAGGTCGTAACAAGTTAACTCTAGCTTGCTAAATTATCGGGTTTACTGGTCGTGTGATCCTGACTGATAAGATAAAGTTCGATTCAAAATCTGGACTGGACAAATAATAATAGTGTGAAAAGCGCGATCAGTTGTTATATCTGTTACCAAGCGTCTGGGTGTAATTTATCTATAACATATATGTATGTATGTCCGTGTAGTGACGGATTAAGAATACGGAGTGTCATCACTCCTTCTGTCGACTAAGGGAGCAAACTCTGCAGAACAACAGCACTGCAAAGAGAAGGAAATCTTGAAACAAACCCTATACCAACACGTCTAGCCAGGCGTGGTATAGTATGCCGAAACCCTTCTAATAAGAGGCCTATGTTCAGCTGTGGTCTATCAAAGGCCACACTTAACATGTTGATGATGATGTTGAGTTAAGACTGGCGCACTACAAGTATTATAAATAATGTCGTGCCCCAGCGTAGCAATATAAGGGTTTCAAAAGTCAAAATTACCTAATTGTCTATAACTGTTTTAATCTTTGTAATAAGCTTTCAACTTTTGGGTCGTTTCGCAGCACGGCAAAAAGCTCGACATGTGCTGGGCATATTTCTGCTAATATTCATTTGATTGAACTTCTAATTTTCAAGTTTTTCGTGTTAACGTTTGCAGTTGGAGTGTTTAGCAGTGAACTTCTGCAACAAAGTGACAGGTTCCACCATGAAGACTCTGTTCCAACGCTCCAGGAGGCTCACCTGCCTGCTCATGAATGGATGTAGTAAGTTGAACATGGCAGTTCGAGATAAACACCAGTTATATAACCAAATAAAATAATATATATACGACTAACTAATAATATATATATAACTAATAATATATACTTATCTATATCTATACAAATAAATAAAATTGGAGTGTATGTTTGTAATATTAAAATAACCGCTTTTTACTAAATGCATATGTATGTTTACAAGATACATATGCCAAAATAACATTTTTTTCAATTTTTGTCTGTCTGTCTGTCTGTCTGCTTGATCCGGGTAATCTCTGGAACGGCTGGACCGATTTCGACCGATTCGACCGACCGATTTCGAATTTCACTGGCAGATAGCTGATGACATAAGGAGTAACTTAGGCTACTTTTTTTAGACTAGCTGCGCCCCGCGGCGTTGCCCGCGGTTATAACAACAAACGTGGGTAACACCGCGGGTCTCAGCTAGTACGATATACGACTGCTACATAAAAATATATATAGCTGTATTAAATAGTATTAGACTAGAAATAAAACTGTTGTATCAAGTCTTAGAGCGAGAGTTCAGGTACTTAAAGAAGAAAAATAACTTGAACATGAAAAATAATTACATAAATGATATTTATTTCTGCAAGTAAATCTTTCCAGATATTTTTACAAGTCGGACTTTATAGCTAGAAGGCGCCGGCATTTCCTAAGACTCGCTCTGGGAAGAATCGCCGAAACAAACCACAAAGGTGTCTTTTTTTTTTAAGTCCGTGTTACAATGTTAACAAGAAATATGTAAATGCAGTATAGGGTCTGGGTTGGCCTTTTGAAGAAAGGACCATAGGATTGAGTCGGCCCGTTTATACAGACGGCATACGAACCCCAGCCATTGTTGAGCCTAACCGATATAGTCAGGATCAACAACACTACCGCCTGAATATAATATGCTCATTTGTTTATTTAGTCAGTTTAGTCGTGACATTAAAGCTAAGCATCTTTTTATCTGATTGGCCCATACGTTAATATTGAGATTCCTTGTTACTCATAAAGGGTTTAAACCTGCTGGACACAACCAGTGGGCGGTCCTGAAGTGCTATTTTGATCAGTTTGACACAATGAAGTGAAAAAACACGAATACAGATTTGACGGGTTTCGATCCGGACTAAATCTGCGGGGGGAGCTGCGCTGTTGGACCGCTACGCTACCAAGCAAGTGACGTGTTTAGCAAATACAACAACCACTACGAGCAACGGATGTTAAAGGATCCGCTACGAGCTACGCAACGACAATCTCGTCTACGAAGAAACTAAGTGCACTACGAGCGTAGCACATAAAGCGACACTGACAAACCTAACGGCAGTAAGGAACAATATTAAACACAACCCAACTCGTGGTACATTGAAATTTTATATTCTAGTAAACATTGCCCCTCAAAACGTAATTACAACGCACGCCGCCAAATCCAGCCCCCACTGCTATTGTGTACATTCAGTCAGAAACCGATTTAAATCTATTAAATGAGGTTGCCTATGTAAATAAGACTAGGCATAAGCGCTCCGCTCGGATTTGTCACCAAGAATATATAATATTGATCTCAAAGAAGAAATTATGGGCAGGCTACATAACTTTAAAACCGAGTTAGACACCAAACTAAACGAGATATGTGATAAACAAAACTTGCTGATCGCAAAAAATTTCTTCAGATATCTGTGAATTGAAGACACAAACGACTAAAATTCAGACCTCGAATGACAAAATTGTACAGTCTATGACTTACATAACCAATCAATATGAAGAATCGAAGGTCGGGACTAGAAAACAGAAAGTGTATTGAAAATCTTGAAAAGAAAGTGCAGGATTTGCAACTCCAATCAAGACCTTCATGTATAGAAATAAGGAATATTCCGATAACTGAAAAAGAGACTAGTGAAGATCCTACAAACACAAAATGGGACAGGTGGTTTAGGTCACACCGTCCGATCTTCGAGACATTTACCGTATTAATCACTAACATAAAAAAAAAACGGGAAACCAGGCCTGAAACGTCCCATCGTAGTAGAGTTTCAATCAGTCCAAATGAAGCAAAAGACCGTATCCACCATATAATGACAGGAAAAAAAACCGTGGAGGACAAACTAAATACGGAACAATTAAACATCGTCGGTGTGAGACAGTTGTTCCACCAGTCTCGGGAATTTGATAAACAACATGGTTATCAATTCTGCTGGACCTCAAATGGCAACATTTTCGTTCGAAAAACCCATGGTGAAAAACAGATACTTATTTCCACTGAACAATCCCTACTGAATCTGAAATCTAAACAGTGACTAGTTCCCGATTATTCACAAACACATAATATAAGCTTTTATTTGTTTAAACTTATATATAGTTTCTACATAATAATGTCTAAGTCTTACATTTCAACTTTCTACACAAATACCCTACAAATATAACTAAAATTCAATCTCTACACTGTCATTCATCATACACTCACTATACACAAACAAACACACTGAACATTTCATACTCTTATGCTATTCGCACTCGCAGGTGGCTTTTCATATGCCCCGTCAATTTTCAATTTTCTTTTATAAAAATAACGCGTGGTGGATCGTTAAGGTTTTGGGTTTTCGCTAACCTTTAAATGGCTAACATAAACAGCATTAATACTGACCTGGACTCGTTAGAGGCAACGACGTCACATACTTGTCTTCCGAAAGACTAGGCTGCATAAAACCATTGAAAGTAGCATTACATTTCTCCTTTTAAATATAAAAAGCATCAATAAAAATTTTGACCAACTATGCTTACTTATATCCGAAATAAACATTAATTTAAATATAATAATACTTACTGAATGTTGGCTTCGAAAAATAAATAAAATAAATAACATACCTATCCATAATCAAAATGAAAATGACGACATAATCATCTATACTAATATAAACCTAACGTGCAAAGTTAATGAACTAATATTCTAAGATGGTAACTGTCTCGTTTGCCAAATAAATCGCACAGTGTCAGCGTGGTAGCTGTATACCGATCCCGGCTTCATCTACCAGAGAACAATTTAACAACTTTATTAATGACCTTAATGACGTATACGCTAATATGAACACTCATAACATTATTGTGACACTTTACCTTAGACCTTAATATAGACATAAGCGTGCCCTCAACTCATCAAGAATATCTAACACCTTAATGCCTCTCATGGCCTCGCATTCGCAACCTTCCCTAAAGTCTTTAAGAAATATATTATACACCATATCTTTAAAAATGGCGAAAGAGGCTGCCTGAATAATTATCGTCCTATTTCTGTGCTTTAAGCCTTATCTAAGATTTTAGAGAAAATACTTAATCGAGCACTAAAAACATTTCTTAAAAAAATTAGTATACTAGCACCAAATCAATATGGTTTTCGGTCCGGTTTGTCCACAGTGGATAATAATAATAATAATAATAATAATATTCTACCACAAACACACAACGCCATCTAGTCCCAAACTAAGCAGAGCTTGTACTATGGGTACTAGACAACTGATACAAATACATATATACTTTTTTTTTGTAAATACATACATATTATACATAGAAACACCCAGACCAAATCAAACATCAAATGTTCATGCACACAAATGTTTGACTTGAGCGGGAATCGAACCCGCGACCTTTGGAATAGCAGTCCGTTACACAAACCACTACGCCATCCGGTCGTCAAAACAGATTTGTAACGCTAAAGAGCGGAGAGCAGTCCTAGAGACAATGACCAGAAAACCCTACAGATATCCACCCTGAGAGCTGTCCTCAGAAAACACCGAGATGTGCCCCTCCCAGACCCAAACAGACTCAGGTTAACATCTGTATGGCTTGCAGAATCTCTTTTGCGAGAAGACAAACACGAAGTATAAGTGTTAATTTATATAAGAAACTAAATATCGTTTCAATGGGTAGAAGTGGGTGAAGTTAAGGTGAAAGTTACTAATTGGCTTCAACAAATAGATTACCAAACAACTGAAGAACTTCTTACGTACCTAGTTTAAATCTCACGAATCCCGATTTACCCACACACGAAAACACACAGATACACCCACCCATACACACATGACACACCACCACCCACTAACACATCATTACTATTCCGCAATTAGATATTTTCTTAATAATTAACGTAGTAATTAATAACGAATAAAGTGTAAACAGTGACCGTATGGACCTACAAATAGTACTGTCCACCTTTTGTGCGACTGAGCACTGTCTCCCAAGATACAGGCTTCCGGCCTAGTTTAGGAGTAAAAATGTAATAGATAACCAAAGTCTGTACATAACTATAATACTAATGTAAGTAACTTATGTGTCAACAATTTTTTTTTTTAAATTCTTATTATTTGATAAAAAAAGGGCGTGTAAACCAGAATCAATTTATTTATAGTTACAGTAGGAATAAAGTACCTACAACAAAAACTTTTTTTTTTTTTTTTTTATTTGCATTGATTGTAGGTACATAAAATAGTGATGTTAACAAGTTTTCTAAACCTTATACAATCTACCTGGACTAGGCATGCAAACATTAAAAATGCATCAAAAATTAACAATAAATTCAAAACAACAAATAAATTTTTGAATGATGACAACTTATAATATTAATATAAATAAAGTGGTCAAAATAATTACGTCAGCAATATTGATTGAAAGAAGGAAAATAAATTCAATGTCAAATAAACATAGGTAATGTCAAAAAAGATAACATCTAAAGTTTATCATTCAAAAAATCATTAATTGAATAATAACACTTATTTAGCAGAAGTGTAGTCAGTTGGTTCTTGAATGTTTCTAATGTTTCATTTTTTATAACATTGGGTATCTCTATATATATAAAAATTAATTGCTGTTCGTTAGTCTCGCTAAAACTCGAGAACGGCTGGACCGATTTGGCTAATTTTGGTCTTGAATTATTTGTGGAAGTCCAGAGAAGGTTTAAAAGGTGAATAAATATGAAAATGCTCGATTACTTTTTTATTTCCGTGCATTTTTTAATTGTTTTCATAAAAAAAGGATTCCTTTTGTTTGTTTATTTTATACAAAAGTTTAAGTCTTTTATTTATTAATTGAGGCAGTACGAAGTCTGCCGGGTCAGCTAGTTTTGTTATAAATAACAGGAGCCATGCCGAAAACATTCTTCTTCAGTAACGCAGTATTATAACCACCAACTTGCAACATATTTTTATATTAACTTCTAATCGGTCCTTTCCTTGTTTCTGATATACATGTAAAATAATTTAAGTTAACCCTTACGAAGACTGCAACTTCAAAAATATACATACACGGAAATGTCAACAACTTTAGGGATTCAAACATTGGCACACAACTGTCTGTCATTTTTAGACCGCACATTGCCCGTATGCAGCGTTTCTGTGCTTTAAAAACCTGTTCTCTTAAGGTGCAATTTCCCCAAAATACTTTAGACTAACTTTGTGATGTGACATCTTCCTCAGGTCTCCAATCAGAATATGTGATGCAAGTAGAATGGGAGAAGTCTTCCATCCAGGAGTTAGACGTGACTGCGACGGATTTATCCACTGAGTGTCTTATCGACATGCTCTCAAGGATTCAGAACTTGAGGTTCCTGAGCGCTGGGCAGATCAACGGCTTCAATGATTCCGTACTAAAGGCCTGGGTGGAAGCCGGAACTGCAAGGTTAGACTTTCTTCAGTCCAAAGTATTCAAAAATTATTGTTCTGTGGTTTATGAACTTTTTTAGCTCTGGCAAATGTTTGTAGCATACGACTTACAAAAGGTTTTCAAATCCGTTCGGCCATCTTATCCCAAACTAGGTAGAGCCTATACCATGGCAACCAGACGTCTATAATAATAATATATCTTTATTTATTATACAAAATACACAAGTCTTAATATGTAAGTTGACAAATGTTTGGCTTAATTGGTCATTTGTGGGAGATCTGGAGTCTAAGTTAAGCTTTGGCCTGTATTTTAGAGCTCCAGGCCCCCCAATATTGAAGTTACAGTAATGTTGTCAACTAATAATTGGTTTTATTAGTATCAGTATTTTATTAGTATCATTTATTATGATATTTATATGTATAAACTATATGTATGTTTACCTGGTACTTATATATCTGTAGGATTTTTCTTTTCTGCCATTGTAACATTTCTTAATTCAGTCTCATCTTTACATGTCCCAAATATACACTTGCCACACACTCGTCCGTGTGGTAACGGATTCAGAATACAGAGTGTCACCACCCCTATTCATCCCGTGGGTGTCGTAAGAGCCGACTAAGGGAACAAACTCTGCAGGACAACAGGAAGAAGGAAAACTTGACACAAACCCTATACCAACTCGTCTGGCCAGCGTGGTATAGTAGGCCAAACCCTCCATTCTAAGGAGAGGCCTATGTCCAGCAGTGGACTATTAATGGCTGTTGATGATGATGACACACAGCTTTGCGACACCCAAAGGTTTGACTGGCAGAAAATGCCTGAGGCATTAAGTCCACCTTATGCAATATGTTTGCAGGAAGACTCAATAAATAATTTAGAAAAACATACTTATATTTTTTTTTATAAATACACTAACTGTACCCCGCCACGCTGCGCTGTCGTACATTGTGGTTGTATTTAGAACAAAACTCGCAATATTGATAAAAACAATCTTTGAAGCGTGTTGTAGGTATATCGTGTCAAAATTTGAGCTCTTTGAGTTGGTTTAGAACTTTTTGAGTTTTTGAAGCGTACACAAATTAACTTAACGTTTTTATAGATTTATAGAAACATATTGTAACAAATACACCCAGAGACACATAAGAAACAATCGTGCTCATCGCGCAATTATTTGTCTTGGGTGGGGGAATCGAATTCACGCCCTCTTGCTTAACAGTCAGCATCATTACCCATTTGATTAAAAGGTCAGTCAACGAATAATAACTTTAGTTTTCGTAAGTATATATTGTTAAGGATTAAGGGGATAATTAAAGATACAATGACTTGGAACATAAAACGTGCCTTTTATTAATATCTCTAAACAAAAAGGAGTGCGTATAACCTACAGAGCCTTCCTTGACAACCGAAGCAGTGTTGCCATTACAATCCAATATTATATTAAGTATGTTCAATGAATCATTGTTAATTAACATATATGTTACTAGTTTTTTTTTCAGGATCTAGGATGTTTGTTAGGAGTTCACCTTGTTTGTTAGGAGTTCTATAAACTTGGTCTTACACTAGGTCTCAGATTTCGATTAAAAAAGGTAATCTTACTATAAAGGGCTATACAAGTGGTGTGTCGATGACAGGAACCTGGTGGCTCTGGACGTGGACTCGTCGGACAGTCTGTCGGACGAGGCGCTGCACCGCTTCCTGTCGCGGCACGGGGGGCAGCTGCACGGGCTCGTGCTCAGCGGCATGCCGCACATCACCGACCAGCTCTGGCAGAGCGTGCTGCAACTACTCGTCAACGCTAAGTCTGTACCTCATTCACACCTCCAGTTGGCTATCGATACCTATAGCGGGCAGATCCCGCTTTTTTGGTGATGTTTTATCTCAAAACTAATAAAAATCCAAGATATAAGACATTCTACCAAAAAAAACGAGTGTGCTTTAGACCACACGACTGAAGTAAAACTTCTTGGCTATGAGAGAAAGAGAGAAAGAAAATGTGTTCTCGCTATCTTGCTCCTACAGTAGTATACGAAACGTAACTCTCTCTCTTTCTATCTTCACTAACTTATATCTTTCTCTCAGCTTCCCAGCTGCTGTCATGTGGTCTAAAGCACACTCGTTTTTTTTTGTAAATATATACATACATAGAAAACACCGAAGCAGATCAAACAAAAATTTGATCCGACCCGGTAGTAGACCCTCAGACCTCAGCACTGCAATCGCTACCACTGCACAACCGAGGCCGTCCCAGCTGGTGGGAGATTGTATCTCTTGAATTGCAGACGTTTATAGGTGGCATTGGTAGTTTGCCCCCATGCCATAAAAAATAGGTAATGGATTGTTTGAAGTTCGACCCCGCAACCACTTGATCGTAAATCCGCCGTTGTTCTTCAGCTACCGCCACTTATAATAAATCAAAGAATACAATATTCTGTAAAATTCCAGAATCCTCATCATGGGTACCCAGGAACGCCTTGGGGTGAACATTCACGTTGATCAGGTACAGTCCGTCCAGTACAGTAACTAACGTATCGAGTATCTATGCATGTAAAATAATTGGCCTTAACTGACTGACTGAAGAGAAGGAAAACTTGAAGCAAACCCTATACCAACCCGTCTGGCCAGCGTGGTATAGTGGGCCAAAACCTCCTTTCTAAGGAGAGGCCTATGTCCAGCAGTGCACTAGTATAGGCTGTTGATGATGATGATGATGATGATGATGACTGACTGATTCATTAAGGCAGTCTCAACCGCTGAGGCTGAAAACTGGCAATTTTGGTAGTTTATGCTTTCTATGTTCTAAGCACCCACTAATAAAGGACTTTTGAAAATTTCGCCCCAAATGAACGGTGTATGCAAGTTCATCATTTTCAAATTTAGAAACACGAATTGATTATGCGAGCTGTTATAACCTTCTCATGTACCCAAATATGCTGACTGCATCTGCAGCCAGGCATGGCCGCAGAAACACCACTCAGGACTTTTAGCATTAGAGTCGGGAACTGACCAGCGGAAAATTAGTCTACGTTCCACTTTCGCGCCAAGCGGTTGCCTTAGGGTCCCTTTCATATTTTGATTGACAATAAATGTCTTAAATTAAATAATTCCTTTATTTAAAAGCCTTCCTTTAACAAAGCGAAACCGCGGCTCATAGCTAGTATGAATATAAGAATTAGAGGAATTCCAAAATCTAATGGGCTGTGGCTTTAATATTAAGAAACTTTCTTCGACTTGGGTAACTTTTAAACTTTCACATCAAGTGATATTTAAAGAGAAGGAAAACTTGACACAAACCTTATACCAGCCAGCCAGCGTGATATAGTAGGCCAAAACCCTTCTAAGAAGAGGCCTATGTCCATCGGTGGTCTATTTTAGGCTGTTCATGTGATGTATGATATTTAATTTATTACTTCGAGGATGAACGCTATTAATGCTGTTACCCGTGACCACGTTCAGTGCAACCTGGATGATTATTCAAGCATTTTTTAAGATATTTAATATTTATTAATCGGGTTTAAGAAAGTTTATTCTCATAAAGAATTACATATTCACTTACACGAGAACACATTTTGAATGAGATACAGTCATTTGCTGAGCGGCGTGACACTAATGCAAATTACAAACTAAGGGTATACACAATTGGCAATTAAAAGAGGGTAGGTTAATCGTCTAATATAATATAATAATATATCTCACACACGGCCGTCTGATCCTAAACTAGGCTGAGCCTGTACTACGGTAACCAGACTGCTGATAAACATACTTATATATTTTTAAATACATAAATATTATAGATAAATTACACCCAGACACAGAACAAATGACCGTGCTCATCACACAATATTTGTCCTGGGTGGAAATCGATTCCACGACCTCCGGTTTAGCAGTCAGGGTCACTAACCACTAGACCAACAGGCCCGTCTATATATCGCATCTATACTCGATTTTTTTAGGGTAGGCAATCTTTTTTAACGTTTCTTTCTGCTGGCCAAACTTTATTTGAACATTATTACACTAATGCCTGGAGGACGGAGGTCTCTGCCCTTCCCTGTCCTCTTGCAATTGGGAATTTATTTATACGCGAAAGCACTAAGATACATTAAAAACATAAATGGTTGAACTTTCAGTTAATGGACGGTATAGCGAACAGCTGTCCGAACCTGGAGCGTCTGGAGCTGCGCTGGGACCCCGAGAACCTTCGCTTCAGCGACAAGAGTCAAAAGGCCATTGACATACTTCGAGTCAAATGTCTCAAGCTCAAGTGTTTAGTGCTCAGGTAAGTGAACTTGTCTGGCTAACCACACTGATATTTTGAACATCTTGTTTATTTATATTAGTGACTACCTGGTACCTGGTACCTGGTACCGGGTACCTTCGACTTCGTTCGCGTAAAATTTGAAAAGTGCTGCCTTAGTGTGTAGTGTGGTACGCGACTGCAGACCATGAGGCCTGAGGCAAAATTTTATAGGGGTTTTCTGACAGAAAAAAGCCTAAGTTACTCCTTGTATAGACTATTCCAGCTATTTTAAAGATTATCGGGAACAAATACACACACAGACAGACAAAAATATTTAAACTGGTTTTTCAGCATAGGTATCGTGAAAATAAACGTGTGCAAAAAACCTATTATTTTGACATTACAAACAGCCACTTCAATTTTATTTATTTGTATAGATATAGAATAGATATAGTTTCACTGATCTGTATTTCCTAAGTTATACCTACCCTTGTGATGAGGGAAATGAAAACAATATATATTTTAAAGAGGAATATTTAAATGAGTGAGAGATTTTAATATTGTGCCTCATCTGGGAAAATTGTAATCCTTTTTTACTCAATCTTTTATTCGTATAATATAAAAACGGTGTATTTACAATTCTTATTATAATAATTCTTCTTAAAACAATAAAAAAATAGAAGCGTAAGGATAAAAAAACATGTTTGCAATAATAGATGGACAAAAAGTTTAATAGGGGACAGGCAAAAGAGATAAGGGAGACCTGGTAAAAGATGGAGTGACGTTTCCAGACACAGGTGTGGTAATCACTGGATGCAAATGGCGAGGGAAAGAGGTGTTTGGAAAGGTTTAGGAGAGGCCTACGCCGCAGAGGCGACTACTACTAGGATATTTTAACAATTATTACTATTTGCATACACTTATTTATATCCAACTCCTCAATTTTCTTCTGATTAATTTCGTTGCGGGTTCCAAGACAGTTTAATTTCTTCCTGGGACTTCCTGAGTGTCATAACTCGGTGTGTTCGTGGGTCACTGCTGTGGATCCTGGTGTACAGGAGTTACAGTGGTGGACGTGTGGGTGGGATTAGTCCCATTTAATAAATAAATACACTTATTTATATGCACATATACCTAGATAGAGAAATATGGGTCCAAATAAATTTGTTGAGATATAAGTCATTTTGTCTTATCCGACTTTGACTCATTACTAGAGACCGGATTATATGCATTTGCACATTTGCATATGCTTTTTTAAGCCATTCTCAACGGTAATAGCATATTTTACCTAAGATCTAGTTATGATGCATATTATCGGTACATTTACAATATTTTTCCGAGTGCAGTGCATTCACCCTGTGTTCCGAATGCGATAATATCGCGAATTCGACCCGGAACGCAGAGTTAGTAGCCGCGCGCGTCCTCTGTTTTGATAGTTACGATAAAAAAAAATGTCATGTAATGTTACTGTACTTATTATCGCCAATCAAAAAATAATTTTAAAAAATGAAATCTTACTTTGCTCTTTTTTTTGGGGTTCCTAAAATTGATAATTTAATTTCGCATATTCTGAAAATTTTCCTGCATATTTCAAGCATTTTTCGTGCATATTTGCATACAAATAACAAGCTTTTTATGTTGCATATAATCCGGTATCTACCCATCCGGTCATTACCCTGTCCCACATCTCACTGCGGCCAAGACACCTTTAGCCGTCAGTAGATCGGTCTTGTGAGCCTGCTCGACCGGCAGTGAGAAAATCATCCTAAACCCCGCTCCCTTCACGACTCCGTCTGTTACCCTAGGTCTCCAGGTAACATACTTCCCGCACTATCTATAAATGTATATATACCCTCAGCACAGGGTCATCCTAGGGAATCTAGGGAATTAGGTACTTAGGCGTAGGTTCCGTACGAGTATTGTTCGGTTCACTACGGTGCCCACTCGATACACGTACTTCGGTTGTAATTTAGATAGGCTTTCGGTGTTACACGTACGTGTGCTGATTGGTGTACCACGGTTACCGGTCCGCACCCGTACAATCGCTATATAGTAATATAGAAAGTCATGAGAAAAAAATGCAAATGTAACGTTAGTAGTAAGTAAATAAAGGCTATTTTTATTTTATTTATTAGCTTCATAAAAAAAACTAAAAATTATCTACGTAAAATGTTCTATTCCAGCGACGGCCGTTACTACGAGATCGTCAAGGCAAACTTCGAGCGCGCCGACCGCACCACCGTCGTGCGAACCTCCACCAACTGCCGCGTCTCCAACTATTACCTACTGTCTAACTACAAAGACCTTATATTTAATTAACTGTTTATTTTATTGTGTATTTATTATCTGATAACATTAATAAATTATTCATTCATGGTTTGTCTCTTTTGATTTGTTTTCCGAAAACAGTTTTTAATGGGTCAGTCAGTAGAAAAGACTACCGTCACCCAATGACATGTGCAACACAAGTCACAAGTGCGTTCCCGCACTTTCAATCTCCCCCAGAACCAGGGAGAGGGGAGGGTTTGGGCTGCTGTAACCTCACTCCCTCGGTGGAAAGCAATGAAAGAACTGCTTAACACCGGTTTGCTCGTGGCTCCGCCCGCGTGTATGTTGTTTATAAAATATATCAAGAATCAAAGTATCTCCATGCCAAATTTCATTAATATCGGTACAGCGGTTTAGCCGTGAAAGCATAACAGACAGACATACAAAGTTACTTGCACAATTATAATAGTAGAAAGGAAGTGCGCTGTTGGTGTTAATAGACTTTGTACCTTACGGGAGTGGGACCAAATTATTAAAGGCGGTAAAATAATGGGTGTATAATACCTACCCCTACCCCAATATGAGTAGGTATAATGTAGTTATTTTCATATTAATTTGTAACTTTAATCATATTGTGATTCTCTTTTACCTATGTAGGTATGAGCTTACAATATTCAGCAGAAACATTAATGATACATCTACCGTAATGCTATCCATTACAACTATTACGATTCCCCCCCCTCAAACATTTAAACGGCTCCATCAGATGTAGTTACTAAGCTTGCTTTAACATTCCACAAAAAGAAATCATCTATAAACACATTGACCTTAACGTTAGAGGTTATAAAATTTAAATAGTTCGTTACGAAAACGCGCCCGAAAAATAACTCTTGTTATTTATTGAAGGCCGAATATTTTTAAACCATTATACAATAATTAATTAGACTGCACGGATGGCGTAGTGGTTTAAGCGGTCACTCGCCGCTTTCTACTACGCTGTGTTGTGGGTCCGATCCCCACATGGGACAACACTTTGTGTTATTCACAAATTGTTGTTCTGAGTCTGGGTGTTCCTTGTGTCCGTTTAATGTATGTTTGTAAAGTCCCCCGCGACACAGGATGTATGGGGTGTGCGGGAGTTGTCTTTATTTTAAAAAATACTTCTGATACACTTTTTGAAAAGCCTCGCCTTTATTCCTGTAAGATAGACATTTTAAAATCCTGAACAATTGTTCCATTTTGATACACTTTTCTGTATAGTCATGCACTAAATAAATTATCGGTAATATGAATTTGTAACTGTCTCTACGAGGAAAAGATTGTCTATGAGTATTCAAATTCGTTACACAGTTATTTTTATTCTGTTAGAATCAGTTTTCGTAACTTACGCCTCGTCTTGACATACAATTTTACACAAATACTTTTGTATTTGGCTGTAGTGGACAATGCTGTGTGTAACAAGAATAAAAGAGAGTGAAAAAGTGTATCAAGGAGGAATAATTCTTCTCTTTTCGCTGGTCTTGCCGAACTCATAATGTGGCTTTTGACACTTACTGTTAGTCGGTCCTGGCAGTCATATCCGCATTAATTAATATTATATTATTTATTTCTTCACCACGCGAAACTTTTTAAATAGCACAACCAATCTGTGGAATAATTGGCTGCGGTATTTCCGGACCAATACGACCTACAAACCTTCAAAAAAGAGTGTACTCCTTCCTTAAAGTCCGGTAACGCGGTCATGACTCCTGAGTTGCAGTTTACGGGCGGCGGTAGTCGCTTTCCTTCAGGTGACCCGTCTGCTCGTCTGACCCTTTGCATCATAAAAAAAGTGGTAGTAGATATTATATAGCATAAAGTTTATCACACAAGCATGTTCAGTTTGTGCCCGCGACTTCGTTCGTGTGGAATTTGAAAAGCGGTGCCTTAATGGGTTCGATTCCGGACGGGGCAAAATTTTATAGGGTTTTTCTGAGAAAAAAAAAGCTTAAGTTACTCCTTATATAGACAGCTACCTAGTAGTAAAATAATATCTGAATCGGTCTAGCCATTTTGAAGATTACCCGGAACAAACCGAGACAAAAAATATTTAAACTGGTTTTTAGGTATCGTGCAAATAACCGTGTGAGCATGAAAAAAACCTATTATGTTGACATTACAAACAGACACTTCAATTTTATTTATTTGTATAGACAAGTGTTTTGAATCTCCGTCGAGCCACAGTCCTCGTAAGGTTCGCTGTTAGTAGATATATGGTGAAGTCGAGGATAGGTGTCTACGAAAACATGAAAAAACTCATACATTCTAATAAATTTAAATTGATGGTACTTTATTAAAGTTTTCATAATGATTGTTAAAATTTTCATACTATTGACACAATAGGATAATGTCATTGATCCGTCCCTGTGTTGGTCCGACCTTGCATTAGTCACATTTAGAGGTCAAAATTTGAGTACTGAAGACTACGCGCGGCGCTCAATGGCAAGTTTAAGTACTTATTTCATATTTTACAGGCAAGTTCTGTGCTTAATTAGAGCAATCGTTAAGTTTTGAAATTATTTAGTTTATGCATAATATTAAGATAAAACTCGGTGGTCGGTAACCGAAGTGACAATCTGTGAAAAACTTTGGATCCGACGAATACAGCATTATTTTGTTTTGCTTAGTTTAGGGTGTAGCATTGTAAAAGTGCAAAGATACAACTGTTTAGTAAGCGACCATCAGTTTATATAAAGAAATTTTGTTTAATTTACCTACAGCCATAGTCTAAAAAGGTGGTCGTTAACAAACACAATTGAAATAAAGACATTAGTTTGCAGCAAACTTAAAAAAAAAAACCAATTAAATGAAAAAAATAAAGAACCTGACACCCATCTTGGATTTTATTATCAACATATCCGATTGCAATTTTTTCCTTTTTACAATTCCGGGCTCAAAAATATGCAATCAAATTTGAAAATTGCCCTTGACCGAATTCGAATCTTGACCGAATTGAATAATCTTCAAGGTTGCGATCAAGGTCACCAATGGATAGCCAGGAAAAAATCCTGTAAGTTTTGTGTTTCAAAAAAATACAACTAGCGAATTATTCTGCCGTTCCGGTACTTTTCTGTCACCCTGTAAATATATAACTTGTTGGTGACATTTCGAAACATTGATTTAATTTTGGCTAGGCCATTTATCGAGGAAGGCTACATAACTTCACGCTGCGACTAATAGGAGACGAGGATCAATGAAACGGGGTTTTGGGAGAAGCAGATGAACTGCTCGAGTCAGCTAGTATTCAATAACCTTAATATCTTGTAATTGAACCGCGGGAAAGTCATGTTTGTTCACATATGGACCGGCTCGACCGGAGCACCACGGTCTCACAGAAAACTGGTGTTAAGTATACTCACTTAGTAACTCCCGTACCCTCTAAATCTGGATAGCAAGCTTATAGGCTTATATTGTATCTTTTCAGGTTCTTATCTTTGCAGGTTTCCATGGGCGGAGGTTTTAATATAACATCAGGTGACGCGTCTGTTCGTTTCCAATTCATTCTTTCTCTGAATCGCCCAACCGGTCGAACGGCAGTGAATGCCTTTGGCATAAAGGTCCGCCGATGTATATATTTGTGCATAAAGTTATAAATAAAAAACCAATTCAGCCATCTCTGAAGAAAAGTATTTTTTCTGGATGAGAGGTTCCTTTGTTTTTATTTCTACCCCTGCACGTCTAAGCACTGCACGGATGGCTTGAACCATGTTGTTGCTGTGGGTTCGATCCCTACATGTGTGATCCGCAAATTGTTGTTCTAATCTAGGCGTTCTTCGTGTCCATTTCAAGAATGGATTTATTTTTTGTGTCGGAATTGTTATTTAAAAAACATCATTGTGTGTATAAATAGCATTTGTTTAAATCAGGAAAGCGTAAAAAATAAACAAACGCACTTATATAAGTCAGGATAAGTGTCAGAGTATAATGACCCTTGAATAGAGGTAGGTTAAGATCGAAATATTTATCTTTGTACAAATCAGCTGTTGTGATTCATCGCCGAGATGAATGACCACCTACCGGTCAAACGATTTTTGTATCGTGTCATTAAATCATTAGCGACTACATACAATTTTTTGTACAAACAGCCCTGAGTAGTTTTTTTTTGGTTAATCTAACAGTTGTTTTCGAGATATTTGATTAGCGCAGTCGTCTTGGAGAAAATGACGAAAACAAAAAATCTGAAAGAAGTAGTAGTTAGTGATACTGGCTACTAAGCTACCGGTCGTGGATTTGATTCCTACCGAGGACAAATAATTGTGTGATCATTTGTTCTGCCTGGGTGTATATTTTTCATTTATTTGGGTTTTCTTCCAGCGTATAATATGTTCGTATTTAAATAAATAAGTATGTTTAGCAGCAGCAACAGTCTGTTGACAATAATACATTCTTTGCCTATTTTGGGATCAGACGGCCGTGTGTAAGATGTGTAAATAAAAAAAAAAGGTAAGCCCTGATTTTTTGACGAACTTTATTTGGAATAGCAGCTTTTAATAGTCCACTGCTGGACATAGATCTTTCCTTAGAAAGGATGTTTACGCATACTATACCACCCGGCTAAACGCGTTGGTATAGGGTTTGTTTCGAGTTGTCCTTCTCTTTACAGTGTTCTTACGACACTCACGGGATGAACAGGGGTGCTGACACTCCGTAGTATTAATTCGTCACCACACGGATAAGATTGGTGGTGACGTACTAAAACGACGATCATGGCATTGGCGAGTCACAGAAAGAATTGAAATTTGAACTGTCATAGGATTTGAAATAAGCATGTCGTTAGAACTTGACAGAATGATAAGTTTTCGAATGAGGCTTCATGTGAGTTTTTGCTGTTTACCTGGACTGCAATAGAAGGATGGTTATATTTTTCGAGTAAAATATATTTAAATTTATTTAGTATGATACTCTGTAGGCTGGTTTTGGCTTTTGATTTGTCTTTAGTCTTAATTGTGAGAGGTTTTATGAAAATTATCGAAAATTATTATAGTAAAAAGAATAAGTTTTTTTTTATGTTGGAGGAGGCAGACGAGCAGACGGGTCACCTGATGGAAAGTGACCATCGCTACCCATGAACGTCTGCAACTCAGGAGTCACAAACGCGTTGCCGGCCTTTCAGGAAGGAGTACGCTCTTTTCTTGAAGGTTGTGAGTCGCCATTAAAAACAAACACCTTTAACTAAAATAATAGTTTATTTACAGTTTATTATGGGAAAAATTACTATTTTTTTCAAATTACCTCCAAATATTAGAAGCTATTTTTGAAAACTTACTTATTTACAAACATCTTTACCTTTTTTCATCTAACATTTTCAAAACACATTCGTATAGTATTTTGTATACGGAAACTTGCAATTTCAAAATATATCAGAAACGTGAACGTTACAATAGGAAAAAACGACGAAAGAAAGCATCGTGGCGACCACTAAAGCTTATACTAAACAACCTCACACAGCATAATGAGAAAAAAAACCATGCATCACAAGACAAAATTTAAACCTTAAATCACAGGTATATCAATCTGATTTATAATATATAAAAAAAAACAATAACTTACTATACAAATCGAAAATATACCACTCAAATTAGTCGGTTTCTGAACGATAGTATTCAGTCTAAGTGGTAAGCTTGTTCTTCGAGCAGTCATCTGACACCCTCCCCCAGCAACAACTCGGGGTCTTCCTCGAGCAACAGGTTCTGATTGTTGCTGTTCTCTTCGTTACCTGTTTCCGAATTGTTGTCTTTATTGATGTCATTGTCTATCTTGTACAGTATGTCGTGACATAAAGGACATCTATCTTGCACGTACAGCCATTTCCGAAGACAAACTCCGTGGAAATAATGGTTACAGCAAGTTATTTTAGCGGAATGCATCTCTTGGTAGCATATTGCGCAAACGTCGTCCAGTCTGTTCAATTGGTCCGGGGAGGCTTCACGTAATGAATTGATCTTATTAACAGCCGTGCGTCGCTTCATGAACACGGACCAGCCTGCTCGAGCTTCGCACCATATATTGAAATAAGCGTGTATACACATCATTACGGCTCGAATAGCCCCTCCGGATTCGAACAGCAAGATCCACGCGCCATTGAAAAATAAGAATATCCCAAAGCAAAATTCTATAGTGTTTCCGAACGCGCGAATATAATATACGTAGTCGTCAAGTTGTTCCCAAAATGTACTTCTATACGCGTCTATAAGAAACAGGGAATATATCATTAGGCTCACTATAACTTTCACTATGACTTCTATACTAAATGCGCTTACAGCAAGCAGCCACGTGGAGATCGTGTGCTGAGACCACAGATACACCAGTAGAGATATTGGAAATATAATAAGAAAGGCACACACACCCAAAGCACGGACGTGTCTGTGCGTGCTTGGGTTGTGTGACGCGCTCAGCGACATTAGCATAGGATTCACAATGTTGTGTAAAAAGTGTAAGAGAGCTGTGAATAGCAGGCAAAAGTTTCTGCACAGTCGAATGAACCTCTTCTCCGGATTCAGTGAAGTTAATCCCGTTTGTAAAGCGAGAATATAGAAAAGGATTGCGGATACTGTCCCTATACTTTTATCCTCTTCTTCATCTGTCAATAGTATCCACTGGAAGAAGTTCCCGATGTAGTGGCAAAAGAATGAGATCACTGACGTCATACCCAACACGGCGGTTATCGTCTCGCATCCTGTTACTAATAAAGATTTCGTCATTGACGCTAATGATTGGACGGCTAATAAAGTGGAAACCTTTAAACCTTCCTCGGCTTCGTCATCATAGTTGTCCATGAGAAGTAATATGGCATGTTCCGCGACGCGTAGCACCCAGAACACTCTCAATACACAAGGAACGTTTAAACGCATCCATTCAGTTTCAACTAGCGCCGACAGTCCATAGTTGCTAACAAATAAGCGCCCATGGTGGTAGCCCGCGTACACTACTTGAATAACGTTGTACGCTGACGACCAGAGGGCGTATTTAACAAGAAAAAGTGGCAACAGCGCAGAGAATACCGGCGAATGGTGTAGAAGATTCGGTGGAACTGGCAACATCGCTAAAAACGAGGGTGCCATGAAGCTGAGAGGCAGCAGCTTCTGTACTGTAGGGTGCCGAGGCCCTAAATGAATATATTTAAATATTGCTGCCAACATGAACTGTATGGCAAAGTTTTGTATGACCAGGATACCTGGTCCGTCGAGATCAAGAAGGTTTTTTATATTTAAATTTAATATGTCTTCTAATATGCTGGTGGAGTGATGCGGGGAGGTGGTGACTAGTGTAAGGGCTTGGATCTGCTTGATGGCCGAAACGTTGGTCCAGTACGATACGAAGACTAGGCCGACTGACGTCAGGTAGAGGTACACGATGATCAAGTGCTTCGTGTACAGCACGAATATGCAGAGTGCCGACATACATCCTGGAAACAAAGAGAGGATATGTTATCAAAACGTGCAAATAGTAAAGATTAAAGGAGTAGTTTGTTTAGAAGCTGTTTTTTCTATGGTAGGTTCTAAGGGGGTTCTAGGGGGCAAACGAGTGGGGAGACGGGTCACTTGATGGTGACCAATGGACACCTGGGATCAAGAGACCAAAGAGCGTTGCCACTTAAAGAGCGGTTTGTCTCCGGTAGCCTCTGTCACTCGGTTAGAAGCAAAAAAATTGATTCATCATCCTTTAGTAGTCCACTGCTGGACATAGACATCTCTCCTTAGAGAGGTGGTTTTAGCCTACTATACCACGATGGCCAGACGGGTTGGTGTACGGTTTGTTTCAAGGTTTCCTTTTCTTTTCATTGCTGTTGTCCTGCGTAGTTCGCTCCCTTAGTCGACTCTTACGACACCAATGGAATAACCAGGGGTGGTGACACTCCGTATTCCTCATCCGTATTCGTGTAGTGACACGGATTGGAAATAATGATAATGAATTACTTAACAATTAGTTTTCATTAGATTATTGAATTATCACGTGCTGTTTCACCATAAACTTACGAAGGTCATCTTAAATCAATTCTGAATTGCAGACGGCAATTCAGAATTTTAGGATTTAGAATTCCTCGTGCCTTTTTTAATATTTCTTATAGAAAAGTCGCTTATATATAAAGACTAGATTTTAATTTAGCTTATAATTTAAAGACTAGATGAGAAAATTAGGAGCAATTTGAAAGGAAAGGGAGATAAAACGAGCAGGCAATGGGCAGGCAAGAAATATTGCTTATACGGATGAATAAGTGTATATTAGGCAATAATAGGCTGTTTAAGCAATAGTTCGAGCAGGTCAGGGTCGTGTACTTGTAACTCAAACGGTCTATTGCTGGAAAGTTCAGGTCAATTCTCGTAATGAAAATTCGTTCAAAATTCTGTTCTGATCTATTCTCGATTTCACAAATGTAATAAAATGGTATTCTCGTAGTAAAGTATTAAACATCCAACGTTTATAGTAATGTGATTATATCGTACTAGCTGCGCCCCGCGGTGTTACCTTGCTCATTCCACGGGAACACTAAGTTTTGTCGGAACACAAAGATGTGCTATGTGAATATGTGCTATTCCAGACAGATAATCTATCTCTGTGCAGAATTTCATCCAGATCCGTTCAGCCATTTTTAAGTAAAAGAGTAACAAACATCCATAAATCAATACAAACTTTTGCATTTATAACATTAGAAAGATTGTGACCGAAAGTTGAATCATGGAAGTTCGAGTGTTGATCGGAGCTGTATTTTAAACGAATTTTTATTACGAGAACTGACGTTTTCTAACTAAAGAGTCTGCAAGTCTGATAGATCGTTTATTTATAGTGGCAAAATAACACATATTAAAAATAGCTAAAAATCATTGTTTTGTAAATGATTCGGCAACCAGAACGCACTGAAGCGCGGCGAAACACGTCTCAGAGCTGCCGACCGTGTCGGAATCGAAAATTTGGAGCGTCTCTTCCGTCGTCGATCAGTATTTTTGCCTGAACATCTTCACGTATTTTTAATACGACACGCCTTACCATTATTATATTTAATTACAAATGTAGTATTAAATACTAAATACCATATAGTTAACTTAGAATATACCGTTGTTTCCGTGAGGTGGGTATATTGAGATTTGTGTTTATTCTAAGAATATAATAAAACATTTATGTGTGATGTATGCAGATGTTGCGACTATATTTTTATCTCATTATAATTTAGATGGCACAGAATATGAAACGGAAATAAATAACACGCTAAAAATAGTATCCACATAGCTCAAGTCTTTATTTGAAAGTTAATCTCAACAAGACAAAACTAATGCAATTTAGAAATTATAAAAATAAAATTCCTACTTTAAATATATACGAATCTGATATAAAAATTGACGAGATCAAAAAATTGGAGGACAGCACTTAAACTGGAAGGAATATATAGAAAAAAGAAACAATAAATTTTCTATTTTTAGCTACACCATATCTGTGCTTGCTGAAACAACTTTTACAGATACCGCTAAGTGAGCCTATTATGGTTATGTATACCCTCTTCTAACGTATTGGGTTATATATTGGGTCAATTCATCTGAAATGTCTGCGCACTATTTATAATATGCATAGCACAGAATCTTTACGAGCTGTTTTTTCTGAAAGGGGTTTCCTCACACTTACAGTCACTTAAATATTGGAATTGTTTTCATTTTTTGGAAAATGTAACATGTCTTCCTTTAAATTTTAAATGTAACTCGAAAGGTTATAAATATAAATTCAATATAAACCTACCTAATATTAATAATAACGACCGGATGGCATAGTGGTTTGTGTAACGGACTGCTATTCCAAAGGTCGCGGGTTCGATTCCCGCTCAAGTCAAACATTTGAACGAAACGAATGAACATTTGATGTTTGATTTGGTCTGGGTGTTTCTATGTATAATATGTATGTATTTACAAAAAAAAAGTATATATGTATTTATATCAGTTGTCTAGTACCCATAGTACAAGCTCTGCTTAGTTTGGGACTAGATGGCGTTGTGTGATTGTGGTAGAATGTTATTATTATTATTTTATTATAATATGATATATCACAAAAGCACATATATAACAGCAATAAGAGTATTTAATAAGTTCCCGCTAGAAATAAAGATATTAGATGGAAAAATGTCCCAGAACGCTCTGAAAAGATGTAACCATTCAGAATGTGATCTATAATTTTCAAGAGTATTTTCTCACAAAATAATTTGCATGCTTGTTAAATTCATTGTAATGTTCCATTTTTATTAATCCTTTCAAAAGACGAAGACGATGTTTTTTTTTCTTAATTTTTATAGAGACAACTCCCGCATTAGGAATATATCCTGTGTCGCGGGGGACTTTACAAACATACATGAAAAGGACTCAGAACAACAATTTGTGGATCACACAAAGTGTCGTCCCATGTGGGGTTTGAACCCACAACACTCGGCGTAGTAGGAAGCGGTGTGGCGACCGCTTAAACCACTACGTCATCCGTGCAGTCAAGATGTTGCGCGGTTCAACTAGTCTAGGCATATATATATAATAGTCTCTTTTTGGGTAAAGCATTAACACGATTAAATTATAAAAAGAAAACGTATTCCAGGACAATATCGATCGATGGTTGTTCACGATAATTAATTGTGGCGATAACTCTGTAACTTCGTTAATTGGGTAAGGAAATTATCGTGAATAATATTCAGCAAAAACTTAATACAATGGACCATTATACAAATATATTCTAAAGCGATGATACGGGTCACATAGTAATGTCTAAAAGAATGCCAACTCAATTAATTATATAAATCTTTAAATTAATCGAAACGTGTGGATTGACGAATATTTCTACCTCGAAGTTGTTGACGAATATGTCTACCTAGGACGAACGGTCCAATTAGGTAAGTCCAACTTCGAGAAAGAGGTCAATCGTCGAATCCGACTCGGCTGGGCAGCGTTCGGGAAATTACGAAACGTCTTCACGTCCAAAATACCTCAGTGCCTAAAGACGAAATGCTTCAACCAGTGTGTGTTACCAGTGATGACCTACGGCACTGAGACGTGGTCTCTTACTATGGGCCTAATCAGAAAGCTCAGAGTCGCTCAGCGTGCCATGGAAAGGGCTATGCTTGGCGTTTCCCTGCGTGATCGAATCCGCAACGAGGAGATCCGCAGGAGAACACAGGTGGTCGACATAGCCCAACGGATTAGCGCGCTCAAGTGGCAATGGGCAGGGCACATAGCAAGGAGAACTGACGGCCGATGGGGCAGCAAGGTTCTCCAATGGAGACCACGTACTGGAAAGCGCAGTGTGGGACGACCGCCTACCCGATGGACGGACGACCTGGTAAAGGTTGCCGGAAACCGTTGGATGCAGGCCGCAATCAACCGTCCCCGCTGGAAATCATTGGGAGAGGCCTATGTCCAGCAGTGGACAAGCATAGGCTGAGAGCGCGTGGATTGAGGGAGCAATGCGCAACAAGAGGGAGCTATTTTTAAGGGGGCTTTAGGTCTAGTGGTTACTGATCCTGACTGCTAAGCCGGAGGTCGTGGATTCGATGCCCACCCAGAACAAATATTGTGAGATGAGCACAGTCATTTGTTCTGTGTCTTGGTGTGTAATTTATCTATACTAATATTATAAAGCTGAAGAGTTTGTTTGTTTGAACGCGCTAATCTCAGGAACTACTGGTCCGATTTGAAAAATTCTTTCAGTGTTAGATAGCCCATTTATCGAGGAAGGCTATAGGCTATATATCATCACGCTAAGACCAATAGGAGTGGAGCACCATTGAAGGATGTTTCAAAAACGGAGAAAATTTATTACTATTGAGAGACGCAGACGAAGTTGCGCGGGTCAGCTAGTCTATAATATGTATGTATTTAAAAATATATAAGTATGTTTATCAGCAGTCTGGTTACCATAGCACAGGCTCTGCCTAGTTTGGGATCAGCCGTGTGTGAGATATGTGAGGATATTATTATTATATTTTATTATAATGGGAAGGGATTTTGTAAGGATGAGAAAAGGGACTGAATAAACTGCAATAGCTCGAAGAGGGTAGGGTCATACCCTTACGCCTGTCTTATGAGGGGTCACCAATAAATTACATTACATGTAAAGAGTGTGGGTGGGACGGACGGACGAACGGATGAGATGGGTGCTAAGTTTCGTGACGTCAAATTTCAATCCTAATATATCCAAGTATTAAAACTCAACATTTATTTTTGTAATTGTTTGAAATGCTGTTTTAGTCTCATCATCATCATCAACAGCCTTTAATAGTCCTGCTGGACATAGGCCTCTCCTTAGAAAGGAGGTTTTGGCCTACTACGCCACGCTGGCCAGACGGGTTGGTATAGGGTTTAGCATTAGTTGGCCAGCCGCGAGGGGGCGGCGTCCGCGTGTGCCGGACGTCGCCTAAAGAGAGGAACATCTACATTGAGACGG